GAGATAGGATTTAGTTTATTCTTAAATGTCTCTGTGCTAGGCAAAAAAATCCCCTTTGCAATCGACTGCAATCAAAACCTTTTTGCTGAGACGCGTCTAACTCCCGTATGACTTCAGGGTATGGAAAAATACTGCTTCCAAAGAAGTTTTTGAAATCTGCTTTCTTAGAACATTTAAAATCTCTGTACGATGCTGTTCATGGGAGAGGACACATTGATAATTCTGTGGTTAGCCTTAGATCCCCATTTACTTGGAGATGATGGACATCTCAGTCATTCTGTGGATTAGCACTTGGAAATCTGTCGCATTTCAATTGATAAAAGTAGAATCTTGTTTCTTTAATCAGATGCTGGTACCTGACTTTAATCCCATTTATTACAGGAGATACTGAAGGATAAAAGCCCTGTGGAGAGCATGCTCAGTGGTACCTGAGATGTAACAGCAAACATGGAACTGGTTTTTAAAGTTAACATTTGAGATTCAAAGTCTGTTGAAGTCAATGAAAGCATTTCTCCAGTAGGCTTCAGATTTCAGCCTGGCTCCATCTCTGGCTGGCGTGTGTAGGTGAGGGGAGCGTAGCCTGGGATGCTCAAGTGACTGAAAATAGCTTGGTTAATAGGACCTTTGGTAAGATGGACTTACAAAGTCTTGTCGTGCACAGCATCTGGTGGTATTGCAGAGCTTCCTGGAGAGGAGCAGAGCAGCAAAGGGCAGCTCCAGAGCTGCGTGAGGCAGGCGCTGAAGGTACCTGGCCAAAGAGCTCTGCTTCCCTGGGAAGCTTCTCAGCAAGCCACAGATTTGTGTCAGAGAGGAGTTAGAGCTGCGTTTCAGGCGGTGGGTCTGGGGTGGGGCTCGAGATTTCAAATTTGGGTTTAAAAGCTGTGATTTAATGCTTCTCTGACTAATAAGGGAAGTACAGGTTCATCTTGGCACATTGCACTGGGCAGTAATTCTTGCTGTGGTTGTGCCACTTTGGAGCTATCCTTGTGCAGCGTTTAGCTTGCTTTTTGTGTTTTGCCTTGTGAAGTGCACAATAGCTGTTTTTTGTACAGAGCTCTTTAACAAAGTTGGAGATGAACATGGAATTTATTTGCAGTAAATCCCCATATTTTATCCATGTATTTTTAATGCACATTTACAGATTGCCTTTTATTTCAAGATCTCTGAATATTTAAGGGGTATCTCTGGAGGAATGTGTAATATCCAAACATGGGGTGTTAAGCAGTGAAATGAATTCTGGATGGAATCAGAGGGACTAATTCTGCTGCTTTTGCATTGAGCCCTGGCATTGTCCCTGGGTTAGTGTGGCTTCTCAGGGATCCCCAAGATGAAGATAAATATTAGTGGCAGGGTCAGGCCTGCACTAGGCATGACATTTGTAAGACAGGAGCTGTTAGGTGTCATTTAACTAGAAGAATATCCACTAATGGTTTTGAGTATTGTGCTGGGTTTAATTTTAAAATAGCACTTCTGTGTTCTTTGGCAGAGCTCTAGGTAACTTTCTAACTTTGAAATTAAATACCGTGTGTTTTTCTGCAGCAGGAAAATCATTTGACACTAAGAAACTACTTTTAAATATCTTTTTTTCAGAACACTGCCTTGATGGTTATAGGTGATTTTCACGAACATTCTTCCTGACCATTATACCTTTATGCTCATGTTGTAATTTTGGGTAAAGTAAGCAACCCTTGTTTTGTTTCTGTTGGCAGAAGGGAAGTCCAATTTCAGAAGAACAGCTTGTTTCCCAATATTAATATGTTTCTGGGCATAGGTGTAGATCAGTTTGGAAATGTGATCTTTGTGATTATTGACATGACCTAGCATGTCCTTTTTTTTTTTTTTTAAAAAAAAAAAAAAAAACCCCCAAAAAAAAAAAAAAAAAAAGAAAAAAAAAAAAAAAAAAAAAGGAAAAAAACCTGTCAACTTGACACCTGGTTCTTCAGTGCTGGACTTTAAAATAACAGCATATCTTAGTTTACTTGCAAGGGGCTCTCCTAAATTTATGTTGATGTTAAATCACACAATTGCAAGTTACCCTTCTGATTTCTTTTTCTTTAGATCTGTATCTGATGTACACTCCTTCCCCACCCCCTTTAAATGTTGGTAGGCTCCATTTCTCTACCACACTATTTATATCTGGGATTCCAGTCAATGGATGACTTTTTTTCCTGTCTCTCTTGTTTTCTTCCCAGAGCATGCACAGGCAGGTAACTTCTCAGGTGCTCACTCAGAGGAGAAGCTGAGTGTTCCATTGGATTTTTCTTTTGGCTCTGCCTTGCCAGATTTGCCCTCATTTTTTTAAATAATGTGTTTTTACTTTACATACTTTTCATTTTTTACATATGCTGAAGTATGTGCAGGTCTGTCACACCTTCAGTCTGTTGCATAATGGCAAGTCTTCTGATTTGAAGGGCCTGAAGCTTTCCTCTCTATTGTTTCCTCTCTATAGTTGAGGTTTCTTGTGCATTGAAGTCTGGTTCCCCTGATTTTTTTTTTTTTTCTTCATGTGCTTGGAAATGGAAATTTTGGAAAACATCCCTTTAGAGTGATCAGCTCAATGAGCTTGATTTTGTTCTCCCAGGACTGTAAAGACACATTTTGAGGGAATTATGGGTAGGAAGTTATTTTCTTCATTGTGCTGTTTCTGATGTGCTCTTCTAGAGATTCAGGATGCCTACACAATAACTGTTCAGCTTAGACCCTCTACAGACAGATGATCTGTTTGTGCCAGCATGGATTTTTTCAGGTGTTTTTGGACACTGACATAACTGAGCATGTTGTTTGACCATTCTCTAGCCTTTGTTTTTACTTTTTTTCATATTAAAAAATACCGTTTCTGTTTTTCCTTTCTACTGGAAACTTTCTAACTACCCTTGCCTCTCATGGCTTCAAACATTAAAGGCTGAACATAAGAGCAGAAAAACGACTTGTTCTGCCTAGCCACAACCACCTAAACTGGACATCTGATCAAAACTATCTGTCTAGGTCTCCCTAAGGTGGCAGTGGTGAGAGCGAGG